GGAAAATTGAGAACCGAACTGAATTCTGCATCCCAGTGCAGTTTGGGAAGCTGCGAATGCCTGTCTCCTTCCAAACACAAACTTGGCCCAATTTCCAAGGAAACTAGCTGTTGCTTCAGATCAACGCTGGCAGAGGAACGAGCACATTATAAAACTCTACTTGCATAAGATGGGAAACTTTCCTTCCCAGCACATTCCATCTGTGGTGCTGTATCCCTGAAACAGCTGCGCTCCAGGCAGGCACAGTACCTTTCCGTTTGCAAGGCCGATGAATAGTCCTTGACCTCCACTTTGACCAGCTAAGAGGATGCTAGGGGTGCTCTCACCACAGAAGCTGCTGCCAGAGAAAGACTGCGCTTCGGAGGTGTGAGTGCTCCCAACCGCACGGGTAGCTGCGGAGCTGTCAGCAGTGTTACCAGGATCGCACATCTGTTCCCTGCCAAACAGCTTAAACATACCCTTTGGAGGAGTTTAACAGTTTCTCAACCCCTCTTTTGAGGCCAAGAAAGCCTAAACTTGAGCAAACTAGTCCACATGTGAGCTCCCCCTCCCCTCAGCCCACTCCATGCTCTCCTTTCTGAGTTTCTGTTTTACTTTTTCAACACAAGGCAGTGGAGGGACACTGCACAAACCCCAGTTTGCAGCCACCAAAGTAAAGCCTGCAGCATCCGGCCTGGGTGGGTAGGGGTGGTGGGAAGAGGCAGAGACAGCAGCTGTACTGGAAAGGTTCAAAATAACAAGCAAAAAAAGGCACCTCAGACAATAGCAGGCTCAAGTAAGAGGAGGGCAAGATGCTGCGTGTAAAGCAAATGCCTTCTACACCACTTGGTATCATAAGTGGCTTCACAGATTCAGAAGCCTGCAGTTTCTGGGGCAGAATCCATCCTCCCCAGCAAGACAAGAGCCCATGACTGCAGGTGGGCAATGTGACAGGAACCAGACCCCAGGCATGCCAAACCTAACAACCCCCTCTGGCACAGCCACCACCTCCTTAAAAACTAGCATTCCTAGCACCTCTTGAGTTTTCACTCTCTGGCCCCAAATTATGCTCTGCTAGGATTCTGCCAGTGCTAAAGCATCCTCCACTCCTGCACATGCAATGTCCACGTATACAGAGGCCTTAATCTAGATTATCTGTGAATTTGCTGGTGTCTCAGGCAGCATACCACCTCTAAAAACTTCTGCAATACAGGCACTCAGCATCACCACAAGTCTCCTTCAAACCTCAAAGCATCAGAATACCCTCATCACTTCAGTATCTACAAGTTAGAGTGACTGCACACACTGACTACACAGGCACCAGAAGCAGTGCATGGAAGACAAAGCCCATGCCATAGGTCCTCCAACCAAACGACAGCTGCTCACCCAGAAGCTGGTCAAAGGAGCTTGTTCCTCGATTCTTATTTCAGTGTTAAACATGAATTGCCAACAGTGGGAAGCATCAGTTTCTACCCAGAACTCTGACATTTCAAAGAAGCAGTTGTTTTTCCTGCATGCCCAAGATCCCTGAAGAGAAGGCCTTGGGAGTGTTGGCTGATGAGAAGCTCAACATGAGCCAGCTTCAGTGTGCGCTCACAGTCCAGAAAGCCAACTGTATCCTGGGCTGCATCAAAAGGAGCACGACCAGCAGGCTGAAGGAGGTGATCCTGACCCTCTGCCCTTGTGATGCCCCGCCTACAGTCCTGCATCCAGCTCTGGAGACAACTACACAAGAGGGATGTGAACCTGTTGGAGTGAGACCAGAGGAAGCCACGATCAAAGGGCCAAAGCACCTCTGCTATGAAGACACACTGAGAGAGCCAGGCTTGTTCAGCCTGGAGAAGGCTCCAGAGACCTTAGAGCAGCTTCTAGTGCCTAAGGGGGGCTGAAACTGAAATCTGGGGCTGAAAAGCTATTGAGCCAGACACCTAACAGCAACATGTCTAAGGCACTTGGGTTGTCTCAGCCATGAGATGCTCACGGAGTTGAGGATGTGAACAGAGCTCTTCAGCCTGCTACCCCGTACCAGCCACGACTGGTATCTGAACGAGGGTCAAAAATGGCTAGGAGACAGCTGTCTTCTAAAATAACCTTCATAAGCAACACGTGCTTTTGACCAAGCAGGACTTGAAAATGACATCCCTGAAATCCCTTACACAGGTGAGCTTTTCTGGAGAGGGATCTTGCTACCAATGAACCTGTCTCTTCCCATGTTCCCTCCTAAAATCAGCAGGCACATAAACTATGCCATCTGCTAGAATAGGCAGAAGAAAAGCATTTGACTGTTTTGAAAGCGTTCAGGCCAACATACATCCTGCTTCTACAGAGCAACTTTAAAATTTCTTAAAACCCAAACAAACAAGCACTACTTTTCTACAGCTCCTAAAGAATACAACAGTGTGGTGAACGGACATGTACAGAATATGTTTGGATTCACTTGGTTTTGGGCTTCTTGAAGGCTGCAATTTCACCGCAGCAAGCATGCTCTGCTTCTCAGTACAGCATTTAAAATACTCATTGACACACAGCTCTGAACTTGAGACTAAATCCACAATCCTTATATTAACTTGTATAAGAGAATTTCACAGCTGTTAAGGACTTTTAATTCAAACTTGAATTATAGTATTATTTACCCAGCCCTGATTTATGCTTAACAAATAAAGGCAAGTGAGCCATAAAAGCGTTTTAAATTTGGCAGCTCCTTGTAGAGATTAAACCTCATTCAGCTAATGTGTTTGTTGCTGTGCCAGAAAGCAGGGATTGTAAACTACTCCTCTAAACATCGCTAGGAAGAAAACTGTGTGACTCTGAAATGAGTACCTGGCTATGTGACCTTTCAAAAAGCCCGAGCAGCTCAGTCACACGTATCCTGTGTGATTCATCACATGCTCCCCAACGACGGGGGAGGGAGAGGGCAGAAAATAATAAAAACTAGGGTGAGGTGCATTTGTAATTTAGGTTTATGCTGAGGGCACAGGTCAGTTGGAGCTACCTGCTCTCATCAGAGCACTTCTCCATGGCTTTGGGAAGGTGGGCATTACAAGAAGGGACTGGCTGGCTACTGCTTGTTACATTCATACCAATAAGGAGCATTGTGCACAAAAATAAGAGGGTTTTCTTTTAATTCTGGGTGGGTGAATTAAGTGGCAGAAATGCCTGTGGAGTGTACACCTTTCCATCCCCACACTGGCCGTGGAGATACAGGAGATGCTGATCAGGGCAGACTCATCTGAGGCCTGATTGCATTGCTTTACAAATATCGTTTGCTAACAAAACCTGAAATGAGCAGGGGAAAAAAACAAATACCCATCAGGTCTCTCACCTACACACTGGCTTCAAGGTTCTCACCTACATGCTGGCTACAAACCTTGAAGCCGTGATGATGCTGGCCTCCAACTAACTGCACCCCTGCAAGTACTGAAGGTAACAAGGCTAGAAACTGTCTGCCTACTATGTTGTTCTACGTGGCTCTGAAGCTCTCTGAACATCTGTAACCACTTCCAATAGCCCCATCTGGCCCTTGGCAGATTCAGCAAATCCCATTGAAGATGTTACAATGACAATGTAAAGTACTTTAACGGATCCTTTAGCCAGTAACTCTGATAAATGCTTTCAATCTTGAGGACACTAAGAGCATTTCTCTGAATTCCAGGCATTTAAAAAGCACATGACTCCCTCTTGAGAGGATCAGAGTAAGTGGAAACCATTTAAAGCAAAGCCATATTCATAAAGGACTCCCACATCCACTTCATGAGGACAGGCTTGAAAAGCCACTTTCAACTTAAAGTGATCCAGGGGAAAAAAAGTGAAAGGTACTAATAAAAAATAACAACAAAAAAACATAGCACAGTTCCTTTTAGTGACCTCAAAACCACCTTCCTAAATAACAAGCCAATCATTTGTTATGCAGATCCATAAACAGCTGACCAGTGAGCATCCAGAGCATCTATGAATTTCTGTGCTGGGTTTGTAAACTGAAAACCACAGCTAGCTTCTTGAAAGTCTCTTCCACTCGCTGTGATCTCTGGTAACAAAGGTGCCTGTGCTAACGTGGCACACTGATGAAGAGGGAGATGATCCCCAGGCTGCAGGGCCCAATTAGCCTGTGGCCGGCTCATTATCCACTGGGATGGCTCAGGCTGTGGTAGTGAACTCTGCCACAGGAGGATCTATTCAAGAGCAGCAGCTCCAAATGTGAGGTTGGGCGAGAGCGTTGTAAGGGTAGGGAAAAAGCCGAAACCCACCTCTCCTCCACCGCTGCCTCCTGACAAAGGCAGTGGATCCAACCAGATACAGGTGCTCAGTGTAGAAACGGAGACCACCAGCTGGCTGCAGACCTGCGAACCTCCTGCCAGCACCCAGGCTGTCCTGGGGGAAGACCAGCTCCAGTGCAGATAAAACACAGGCCAGGCTGCCACGTATCAGGATACTGCATCACAGCACCAAATACGTGGGAAGCGCCGCTGGGATGCCTAACAACTGTATTCATGACCCTGCCTCACAGCGCTTTGTAAATCCGTGCTGCTCACCGAGCAGGTCCGCGCACACAAAAGACTGCGGGAACCTACACAGCGCCAGCAGCCCGTCTGATCCTTCCTGTGAAATTGCGCAAGAGCAGTATTTTGGGTAGAGTTCCCAGAGGAAATTACCCAACCGCTCCGGCAACCAGAAACCCAGCCGGACGGGGAGGGCGCGCTCCCCGAAAGCGCCGCGGCTTCGCTCTTCTCTGACTCCCTGCGCGAGCATCCCCCCCTACACCGGCTCCCCCGGGATTCTCCCACAATCCCCCTCCGGCCAGCGGCACGCGTGGACATCCACGCCGCTGTCACCCCGCGCCCAGCAGGGACACCGGCGCACGACGCACGGCGGCGGGACCCGGCGGCGGATGCTGCCGTCGGGGCGCGGACTCGCGGCACTCCCCCCCGCCCAGTGTTCCCCGCGGAGCGGACGGCGCCGGGCACCCGTCGGGCGGCAGGAGGAGGTGAAGCGGGGGCCCCAAACTCATACAGGACGGCACTCACCGAGCAGCGGGGAGGGCTCGGGGCAAGGGCCCGTCGGCGACGAGGCGGGCGGGGACCCTGCGGTGGGTGGCGGCGGGTGGGAGAACGGCAGCGAGAGGTTGGCGGGTGGAGGGCGGCGCGGTGGCGGCTCGGGGCTGCCCGGCGGCCCCAGGGCGCTGCCCGCCAGGTAGTAGAGCAGCGTGGCCGAGAGGTGGAGGGCGCAGAAGGCGACGAGGAGGCGGCAGGCCCGCTGCAGCGAGGTGCCGGGCAACGACGGCTCCTTCATGCCGCTGCGCTGGCGGGGTGCACCGCCCACCCCGCGCCGCGCCGACGACGGGACACAGGGACGGGGCGGGGACCGCGGCGGCTCCGCCCGCCGGGGGCGGCCCCAAGCCCCGCGGCCCGCCCGCAGCCGCCCGCCTCAGGGGGAGCGCCGGCATCCCCCTCGCAGCCCCCCAGTACCCTCCCAGCATCCCCCTTCCGGCATCCCCCACGCACCTCCCTCCGGGATCCCCGACCGCATCTCCCCGCGAATCCCCTCCCCGGCTTCTCCCACTGCATCCCTCACCTCATTCCCCCCCCCCCCCCCAGGCATATCCCACCGCATCTTCCCCTTCATACCCCACAGCATCCCCCCACCTCCCCCGGCATAGCCCCCTGCATTCCCCACCGCATTCCGCCCCGGCCTCTCCCCACCGGTGGTATCCTCTCCTGTCATCTCCCAGCCCGGCATCTCTCCCTCCGGCAATCTCCCCTCCTCGGCATCCGCCTCCCGACATCCCCCCTCCCGGCATCTCGTCCCCGGCATCCCCCTCCCCCGACATTCTCACCTCGGCATTCCCTTCCTCGGCAGCCCCGCCTCGGCATCCCCGTCGCAGTCCCCTCGCCTGACCCTGCCAGCGCTGGTCCTTGGGAGCTCACCGCTCCCTTCTAGCTGGCTCTCCAGCGTGGTTCCCGGTAATACCGCGTGGTAACGGTGGCTGCAGGTTCGTGCAGGTCCCTAGCAGCATGGAAAACCGCTGGGCTATAGCAGAAGGCGCTAAGAGGTCCCTGGGAGCTGCTGCGAGATAGCGCAGGCTGTCTTTGGTCTCCTGCCTCTTGGAGGGTTGCAGGTAGACTTCACTAGGCACAGCTAAGTGTAAACTGTAGTTTCCTGTCAGCTCAGTGGAGCTTGTTTCAATGTGTTTTCTGCCAAATGAAAAAGGCCAGGACCACCTTCCTGTTGAATAAATCACAGGACCCCAGCAGTGCCAGCGGCAGGGCTTTCTGCAGGTCTCCTGCCAAACATCCTGCTTGGAGCAAGACTATTGCCAGCAGCAGATAAAACCAGCTGCGTTTTATCCCTCTGAGCCTTGAATGCTGTCCAGCATGGGGATCTCCACCTCTCTGGTGCCCTGTCCCAGAGCTGCCCCACATTCCTAAGGCAGGAGTTTCCTTGTGTCCTTCATCAAGTCACTAGAAGAGCCTGGGCAAGCAGGTCTGCGCACCATCCAGCATCCCTCAAAGTTATATGTGTCTCTTACGAGTGGCAAGCTCACCAGCATGGAAAGAAGCCTCCTTGGAACTGTCCTGTAACCCTGTCTCAACCAGCAGCAGCAATGGTGAGAACGTTTAGTGTTGCCCTCACGTGTGAGGTGACAGCCAGGAATTCAGTACTCACCCTGGTGCTGCAGGCACCTTGCTCCTGGCTGGCTGGAGAGAAGTCAATGGGCATTGGTGAGTCACGGGGTGAGGCTGACAGCTGATGAGGCAAAATCCTGCTGGTCTGGCAGCCTTGCATCTATCTGGTTAGCCCCATGGGCCTCACAGTGCTTCAGGGACACCCGGTGACACTCAAGTGGTTTTCAAGCGCGACAAATAAGGACCTCTGCCAGTAGTCCTTAACGCTACTATTTAATGTTACTGTTTACTTGGTCTCATGAAAGCCAAGTCTCTGAAAGGAGAAGTGAATCTACCCTCTTCTCATTGGTTAAAACTACTTCCCAACACACACACACAGCACTCCCACTGCCCTCAGCCCTTGTGGTCTGCTGATCTCAGTGGCCTCCAGTGCTGCTTGGTGGGCCGCCAAAGTGCTGGTCTGTGGAGCTGGGCTCCCTTCCAGGAGTTTGGATGCTCCTTCAGTGCTTGTTCAGTGACTGCTCACAAGTACTCTTCCAGGCTAGCATGCCGTCTGTGGTCTTTGAAGAAGCATACCATGTCCCATCCTTTGACCTCTGCCAACACTGCTGTTCCTCAGTCTCAAAACTGGCACTCTTTCATGAGATCAGATGCTGCAGGTGTTTCTCTTGGTTTGTACTGAGGTTTGAACCAGCTGGACCTTGCCAGATTGATGTTTTGTTATCTGGTCCCATGGACTATAGCTGTTCAATGCTACACACAAGCAAGCACATATACCTTTTTACTACTGACCATGGTGAAAACCAGCAGGGCACAGTCTCAGTTTGTGATAAGAGAGCAGAAACAGGAAGAGAATGCCCAGGAAGTATGGCTGTTGCCATCAGTGGGAGGATGCACTCATCTTTACAAGCTGAAATGTTCAGTGATCTTTGTGAATCTCGACAAATCTACCTTGCTCTGAGGCAAAGGAATTTCCTGTTTCTGGCAGGACAAGGATCTGACTTCAGGTCTGAGTGTCTCTTTGCACTTCCTAAGTGACTTTTACTAACCCCCTGAAACCTCCTTTGAAAGAAGGGCATCATCTCTGCCATGAGGAAGCTCAAGGAGAATTATCCTGCAGTCAAGGCACCTGAACAGAAAAATCTGCTTCCTCTTTTCTGTTCATTTACACATTTCTTGGTTCTTTCTGACATCTTCCACAAGGTCAAGTAAATCAAATAATCACCTTGCGCTTCAGTTAAACCTGATGTTGTAAGCATCACAATGAAAATGCTGGTGTCCATGACACTAATGCCATTACTGCTGATATTCTCAGTCAACATTCAGCTAAAGACCAGCTCATAAATTGCCTACTTCAATGAGCAAACCCAGTTTTAAGCATCCAGGCTCTCCAGACATCTTTTATGAATCAGTTAGCAGGAGGCAACCCAGCAATGCGTCTCTCAGCAGATAATCTGGTCCTCAGAACTCGCAAATCAGTCCAGAGTTCCCATGTTTCATGCTGCCAGCAAATACCTGGACTTGTGCTAATCAAATCTCCTGCCTTTCTTTCAGCTTTGAACTGGGCACTTGTAGGGGAAGTTCCCTGCGGAGCACTGAGAGTCAGATCTCAACTGTGACTTAAGGTAAATTTCCTGTGACACTGCTATGTACGTCACTTATTAAGTTTAGCTAGCAATAGCAAAAGAAGTTGCAACACACTGTTCACACAAACGCCAGAGGGACAGGAAGTGTCCAGCACATTTTTCCACAGGTTCTTTGTGGCACCCTGCCATGAACGCCTGCTATGTTTTGTGTGAATGGTATGAAAATATTGACGTTTTTCCTACAGGACCTCCATCTTGCTCCTACATATCTGGAAGTAGAGAGGGGCTTTGTGATGAAGGAAGCCTCTGTTGCAGTCAGGGATCAATCATTTGTACTCTTGGACACACACAAGCATGCAGCCATGTATGTATGGGTAAATATGGGTATCTACATCTAATTATGTAGTTGCACACCTTTTTTTGTTACAGAGGTCAGATGTCCTACAGTACCTGTGAATGAGGAAATAAAGACACAGACCTTAAAGGAAATGTGAATACGTGCAAATCCTTGGGCAAGGTCCAGCTGTGCACACTGCACATGAACCCTTTCCAGCTTTTCACCATTGCAATCTCCACCCAGTGCAACCTCTGAAGAGTCCTTGGAGATCTTACTTTTTTAGTCATACCTGAACCATATTTAGCTCCCTGGCTTCATTGTGGGGGTGATATTCTTTTGGTGAAGCTAATTTTTAGTCTCCTTCTCCCTCCAAAAACCTGCTGGGTAACTATACTGTTTTGCTGCACATGAATAGATCTGTCCACCTATCATAGCTAATAACTTGTAAGTCTGATTTTAATCAAACTCGGCAGTTGGAAGAGATCATAAACATCCCAAATACTTGCTGAAACGAGCCATCAGGGTGCAACAGAGTATAAGTTTGTTGGTAATGTAGCACGACATTTGTATGAGCAGGAAGAGAGTGGTTGTAAACCCTTCTTCTCTTGGAAGAAAAGCAAAGTTCTTGAGGAGCATGGCAGAACCCCGGGAAGGATGTGAATATGTGCCAAACAGGGGTTTATCAATCCTGCAGCTCAAGGAAGGATTTGTTTCAGTGTGATTTGGCTTTCCAGGTCCACGCTGAGGTCAGTTTCAGCCAACTGCTGCCATGGGGCAACCACTTCCCCCTGAAGAGCAGCATGTGGTCACTACCAGCACTGCAGGGGTGTATCCACATGGAAATGCCCTGTCCCACAGCAAAACATGGTTGCTGGGACAACAGAGGTGCAGGAGATGTTCTGAGTATGTCTTCGCCAAGCGTCACAAGTGCTTTTCTGGCCAGGGAGGGTACAAAGAAGCACAGCCCTGCCAACAACTCTCCTACCATGAGTGATGCTGGCTTCTCTAGGAAAAGTCGCAGTTTGTGTTTGTTACCCCACTCTTCAGTGTGGTTGCGGTAGCCCTGAACATCCCTGGGGATAGCAGCAGCTCTGCACATGTGTCCAGCCTGGGACTGCACTGGGGTGAAGCCCACAGCCTTGGGCTGCTCACAGGAGCAAAGAACATGCACTGCACATCCCCACAACCTGAAAGCAGTGCCTGGGATGAGCACAGAGTGTACAGGAAGCAGGGAAGATGAGAGGCAGGAAGGCAAGGTGGGGAGTGGGTGAAGAGGGCTAGTGGGCAGTGGTAGGGGAGCCGTGGGGCTGTGCACCCTGTCCAGTGTGGGGTGCCTGCGTTCACAAGTGTCCACTACTGGTCCCTGCACCCGCAGTGATGGTGACGGACCCTGAGTGTGCGTGGCGGTGACGGACCTTATGTATGCACACACACCCTGGGCTCCAGCCTGTGTGTGGTGCTGTGCAGCTATGCTCTAGAGTAAATTCAGTGCGGCTGAATTGGAAATGCTGCTTCCAGGTGTGCCAGCAGGACAGATGCTTCTTCCTGGAATGGGATGGGGGGAGCCCTCTTGAGTTCACTGCTTCCTTCAAGGCATGCAAACCCCCAGGGATATCCCTGGTGTCTGAAACCCCCTGCTCTGTCTCTTCCACACTCTGGGCCATGAAAAGCAGATGGATGGGTGAGCATCACTGGGGCATAGTGCCACCCCATGCAGCCACATTCCTCTGGTGTTTTCCAGTGTTGCAGGGGCTGTGGTGTGGAGCAGTGCACTTCCACAGGGCAGGAGACAGAGGCAATGACATGGCCCCATGCC